GAAAAGACCTAATTCACGTTTGATAGGTGTACCTGAATGCAACGGAGAGAATGAATCCAAGCTGGAAAATATTCTTCAGGATATTATTCAGGAAAATTTTCCCAACCTAGCAAAGCAGGACAATATTCAACCCCAGGTAATACAGAGAACACCACAAAGATATTCCTCAAGAAGAGCAACCCCAAGGCACATAATCGTTAGATTCACCAGGGTTGAAACGAAGGAGAGAATACTAAGAGCAGCCAGAGAGAAAGGTCAGGTTATCCACAAAGGGAAGCCTATCAGACTTACAGCAGATCTCTCAGCAGAAACCCTACAAGCCAGAAGAGAGTGGGGGCCAATATTCAACATCCTTAAAGAACAGAACTTTCAGCCCAGAATTTCATGTCCAGCCAAACTAAGCTTCACAACTGAAGGAAAAATAAAATCTTTGATGAACAAGCAAGTACTCAGAGATTTTGTTACCATCAGGCCTGCTTTACAAGAGCTTCTGAAAGAAGCATTACACATAGAAAGAAAATATACCAAAAAGTAAAGAGTATCAACATAAAGAAGAATTTACATCAACGAATGGATAAAACAGCCAGTCAACATCAAATGGCAATAACCCTAAATTTAAATCGACTAAATCCCTCAATCAAAAGATACAGCCAAAACCCAACGGTATGCTACATCCAGACCCATTTCACATGCAAAGATACACAAAGACTCAAAACAAACGAATGGAAAAAGATTTACCAACCAAATGGAGAGTGAAAATAAATAAATAAAAAGCAGGAGTTGCAATTCTCACATCTGATAAAATAGATTTTAAAGCAACAAAGATATAGTGGCAAAAGGATCAACGCAACAATAAGAGCTAATGATCCTAACACCCAGATACATAGAGACTTAGACTCAGTGATACAGAAAATTAATAAGGATATCAAGAACTCGAACTCAGATCCAGAACAAGTAAACTTAACAAATATTTATAGAGCTCTCCACTTTAAATACACAAAATATACATTCTTGTCAATACCACATCACACCTACTCATAGGTTTAAATAAAATATTGATTGGCAATTATTAATACCCATTTTTTAGAATAAAGCAACATTTCTGTTCTCTCTCCCTTTTTTTCTTCCTCTTTCTTCCTCTTCTTTACTCCTTTTTTTTCTTTCCTTCTCTCCAAAAATAAAAAATAAAATTTACCAGCAGAAACTGTTGGGGTCTGGCACATCTGCCGGGGGACTACCGACCTGCAGGAGTCCCTGAGACCGCCAACGTAGATGTCTCGTTCAACCTGAGGGAAAGAGTGCGCGGAAGTGAAAGAATAAAGGAAAGTGGAGTCTGGAGGGCTGGCTTAGGCTATGTCCAAGCAGCCATTTTTATTTTTGCAATACGTTTCATTATATACTTTTCCGAAGTCAAAGTTGTTTACACCAGATCAACGTATTTAAGTTACAGTAAGCAAGTTACGCCCACTAAGTTACGCCCAGTAAGTAAGTTAAGTCCAGTAAGTAGGTTACCCCCAGTAAGTAGGTTACTTCCAGTAAGTAGGTTACCCCCAATAGGTCAAGGTAAGTAAGTTACAGTCACGCCCTGTAAGCTATGGTAAGTTACAGTTACGCCCTGTAAGCTATGGTAAGTAAGTTACAGTTACACCCAGTAAGTTACGGTAAGTAAGTTACCAAGTGTAAATACTTAAGTTAATATTTTACAATGAAGGTAACAAGGGTCCAAAATGAACACAATCAAGCAATAAACCATAAGAAGCCGAAAGTGGACACATTGCCTCCCAAGTCCTCATATCCATAAAGTAATGTCTGTTAATTATTTAGAATAACGTAGTCCCTCTCTCGGTTCCTGCTTTCCCTCAGCTCGACTCCTCCAACCAGGGATCTGTGTCTGGGCTCAAGCTCACCGTATGGCGAGGCCCATTTCCCAGGGGCCTCACACGGAGCGATCCCCACAGATTCCCTCAAGAAACTCTACCAGCTGAGATAGAAAGAGACAGAGAAATAATGAGATGATAAGAAAATGTTGGTCCCAAAATTCTACAAGCATGAAATAGATAACATTACTTACCTGAGAACATGTGCAAAAAAATAAAAATAAAACATGCCAGGCATGGTGGCACGTGGCTGTAGTCTCAGCTACTCGGGAGGCTGAGGTGGGAGAATCACTTGGGCCCAGGAGTTCTGGGCTGTAGTGCGCTATGCTGATCGGGTGTCCACACGAAGTTCAGCATCACTATGGTGACCTCCCAGGAGCAGAGGACCACCAGGTTGCCTAAGGAGGGGTGAAGCGGTCCAGGTTGGAAATGGAGCAGGTCAAAACTCCCATGCTGATCAGTAGTGGGATCGTGCCTGTGAATAGCCACTGCACTCCAGCCTGGGCAACATAGCGAGACCCCGTCTCTTTAAAAAAAAAAAAAGAGAAAAATTATGTAAAAAAAAAAAGTAAAAAAGGTTTAAAACACTTGATATCATGAACAAGAATTTCAGGTCACCATAAATCATTCATTTAGCCTAACTAATGACTCAAAAAAATTTTAAAGGCAAAAACCTTTACTCATTAATAAAGGGAAGGCTTAGCTTTCCAAACAATCTGTCATTTGTCTTTTCCTTCTTTTTTTGGTAGTGTATTTAAAAGGCCTACAAAAAATGTAATTATCTTTTAATATTACATGAAAATCTTGTTGAAGATAGAAAGACAAATTTCACCTTTGCATTAGTGGACTGTTAATGCCAACCCCAATTTTTAGTAAAATCGCGTAGACATATCTATCCAATCTTAATCAGTTTGACCATAAGGCAAGATTTTAATAAGCCTTTTATAACCCTTTGCAAATTTTTGTTAAAGAGCAGATTAGTGCTTTAAGAAAACGCTGTTGTGCTTTTATTTCAATGTTGAATTTAGGGAAAAATCGAATAATACCTCTTTAAATGTAGTCAATATTTTAATGCATAATTTTTTTTATTCTTTTATTTTTTATTTTTTGAGACAGTTTCACTTTTGTCACCCAGGGTAGAACAGACTGCTATGATCTCAGCTCACTGCAACCTCTGCCTCCTGGGTTGAAGTGATTCTCCTGCCTCAGCCTCCTGAGTAGCTGGGATTACAGGTGTCCACCACCACACCTGGCTAATTTTTGTATTTTTAGTAGAGACGGGGTTTCACCATGTTGGTCAGGCTGGTCTTGAACTCCTGATGTCAAGTGATCCTCCCACCTCAGCCTCCCAAAGTGCTGGGATTACAGGGGTGAGCCACCGCACCAGGCCAACCTATAATTTTAGTAGTCTTAATTACATGTTATAATGGTAATTGTTAGCAATGTTCACTTTTGGTATACAAATTTTCTTTTTATGAAGCTTTTCACAACTTAGACCATCTATGACATGGTTGGACTTTCTGACTTGTCCTAAACATTCCTCTTTTTAAACAACCAGTCATTTTACTGTGACAAGAATTTATCATATCAGATGTTTTCTTGTACAAGATTTATTTTCTTTACAACCTTCTTTGCATAGCTAGGGGCATGACTAATTCCATATATCCCCAGGCTTTATTTAGAATTTAATGTCTCCAAAACAAATGGAATGATTTTTAAAAGTTACAGCATTTTATGACCTTAAAGCATTTAGGAAACCTAATATCTGACCTGTATAATTTAGGCTAATGTCCTTATTTTGTTAATAATCTTTAAAGCTATTTTTATTTCCTAAAGATTACTAAGGTTACTGAACTAAAAGGCATTAAGGTTTTTATTTTTCTTTTAAAACATTTTATTTAAGTGCTTATTTTTCCTTAAGCCAATTAATTAGAACTATTTTATATAAACATTACACACACACACACACACACACACACAATACATATATAACTACACAGACAGACAGAAGAAGATTACTACAGTAGTTGTAAGATTTTTCATCTGCCAGTTTTTCAGTTTCTTAATTGGTTATTGGCTTTAGGGTGGAATGGGTGGAGCCTTTGGAAGAACAGAGCACAGAAAGGATCTATGGTGACTTCTGTTTTTCCCAAGGAGTCCCACGCTGTTATATCTTGAATATCCACTTTTAATTGAGCTGACTTTTAACCACAGCACTATTTAATAAAATCATTTCAAAATTTCTTATTACCGACTTTAGACAGGCAAAATGGCCAATATTTCTGGCTTTTAAACTTTACCAAAAGTAACCTCATAGGTGCTCTGAGAAAGGAAATTTTTTTTTTTTTTGGAGACAGAGTTTCTCTCTGTTGCCCAGGCTGGAGTACAATGGCTCAATCTTGGCTCACTGCAACCTCCCCCTCCTGGGTTCAAGCAATTCTCCTGCCTTAGGCTCCCAAGTAGCTGAGATTACAGGCACCTGCCACCACGCCTGGCTAATTTTTTTTTGTATATTTAGTAGAGACAGGGTTTCACCATGTTGACCAGACTGGTCTTGAACTCCTGACCTTAGGTGATCCACCCACCTCAGATTCCCAAAGTGCTGGCCCACCATGCCTGGCCCCTGAGAAAGGAAAATTAAAGACAGTTCATGGAGGGGAAGATAATTTAAAAATGGCGAAGGTCACCCAAATATAAATCAGAAAGACTCATCCCCTAAGCTAGGGATTGAACCAGGCTACCAGTGTGAAAAGAGAAAGCACAGCCACATGGTTACAAAGTCCAGTTCCCAAGGACATACAAGACAAGAAGAAAAACCTTATCCAATTTGCTGGGGCACCTTGAACAGTTGGCTTACGGGAGTCCTAGGCCCATATTCTATTCTAAGATACCCCTCTTTTATGACAGAATAATACAGAAAAGACACAAATCATACTAGATTCACTACAGCTTAAGACCATCCTCAGAATTCTTTTTTGTATTAAATAAAACTCTTCACTGGGTACAGTGGCTCATTCCTGTAATCCCAGAACTTTGGATGGCCGAGGTGGGTGGATCATGAGGCCAGAAGTTCAAGACCATCCTGGTCAACATGGTGAAACCCCGTGTTTAAAAAAAAAAAAAAAAATTCAGATTTTCAGGTTCTAGGGTTGTTACGAAGCTGCAGGAGCGAGATGGAGGTGGACGCACCAGGTGGTGATGGTCAAGACGGTCCCCGGGAGCGGCAAGGCCAGAGCGAGGCAGGGAGGCAGAACCTCGATGTGCGGCCTCAGTCCAGGGCAAACGGGCTACCTAAACACTCCTACTGGTTAGACCTCTGGCTCTTCATCCTTTTCGACGCGGTGGTATTTCCCTTCGTGTATTTTTTGCCATGACTCATTTGGTGATACCTATATTAAGAAGTTTGTTCTTGAGTGAATTCTAAAAATGGCTACAAATGTCTTGAATAAAGAAGACAGGATTCTCAACAGAAGAATTTCAAATCTCCAAGGGACCCTTCCTTTCATTTTACACTTGTTACTAATTTGCAGAACTCTATTAAGTTGGTAGGATTTCACACATTCCTCGCTAAGTTGTTAAACCCTTTGGTTCATGTTTAAAAAAAAATTCAAAGGAGATAAGCAGTGCTTTTTTTTACCATTCATTTAACCAGTTTGCACACAGAAAAAGAGGAAGAAAAGCCAGACATGTGACTGGTAAGAAATTCTTACCCTTTTGCCAGCATGCCAGTCTTCTGGGATTTTTGCCCCTGAGTGTGGCCCTAGTGACCAAATTTACCACATCATTGTGCTGGGGGCCGAGCCACATCATGAAGGAAAATTTTTTTGTTGTTGCTCTGGCCAGAGCAAAATACATGTGGTAAAACATAGACATTAGCCACTCTGCTTAGCACCCAACATAAAACTGGAAAGCCTTAAATTTGCCCTTAGATGATCCCTGTTGTCTTTAGTCCAAACTCTGACTAGGAGTTTCAACACGTGGTCTCGGGGCAATAGAGACCTAAGTAATAGAAAAGATAAGAAAAGCTACTCAGGAGGCTGAGGCAGGAGAATCACCTGAACCCAGGAGGCGGAGGCTGCGGTGAGCCGAGATCGCACCATTACACTCCAGCCTGGGTAACAAGAGCGAAACTCCGTCTCAAAAAAAAAAAAAAAAAAAAAAAAAAATCCCATAGTGCCAATCCTGTTCTTAGCCAAAAGAGACTTTACTGAGAGCAGCCTTCATTTTTAAATATACTTCAGTATGGTGGTGTTCATCCAAAATGTTCTCCTGTAAGTTATCTTTAGTAAGATTTTGCCATTTCTGTAAGACCTTTTTTTTTTTTTTTGAGATGGAGTTTCGCTCTTGTTACCCAGGCTGGAGTGCAATGGCACGATCTCGGCTCACCACAACCTCTGCCTCCTGGGTTCAGGCAATTCTCCTGCCTCAGCCTCCTGAGTAGCTGGGATTACAGGCACGCCCCACCATGCCCAGCTAATTTTTTGTATTTTTAGTAGAGATGGAGTTTCACCATGTTGACCAGGATGGTCTCGATCTGTTGACCTCGTGATCCACTCGTCTCAGCCTCCCAAAGTGCTGGGATTACAGGCGTGAGCCACCGCGCCCAGCCCTAAGACTTCGTTACCCTTGCCAAAAAGAACTCAGTTTTCCAGAAATTAAGGATCCCATTTTTACCTAAAATACCGGCTTTACTCTCAGGTTCTCTTGATTAACTCAGCCAATGACTTTTTCCTACTTAAGCACACAAGAAAAATAAAACAAAGGGGTGGAACACAAAAATCCCAATGAATTTTTAAAAGCCAAATTTTGTAGCCCCTGCAATATTACCCCTTACTACCAGTTCCTTTCTGGCCCAGTCAGACCTAAGAGGCCTTTAATTGGATTCAAGCTAGTTAATTCCAGGATCAAATCTGTTTCTGGACCCTACCCAGTTTCTGCTGTGACTTCCAAACCCAGTTTGGATTAGAAATTTGCTCAAAGAAACTAGGAGAGCTCAAAACACAAATCCATGGAGCTCCAACATCTGAGAGAGAGAATATACCACGATTCCCAGCCATTCTGAGAGATCAATGGACACAAGCGGGTCCTGGAGGCACCATGCTGTTCACGCTCCTGGGGATCCCTAGAAGCTCTACTTCAGATCCCACTGCTGACACCATCTGATGAAAGAAAAACTTCCGGGCCTGGTGCGGTGGCTCATGTCTATAATCCCAGCACTTTGGGAGCCCGAGGTGAGCGTATCACCTGAGGTCAGGAGTTCAAGACCAGCCTGTCCAACATGGAGAAACCCTGTCTCTACAAAAAAGAAAAAAAAAAAGAAAAACTTCTGCCAAATTAAATTTAAAGGAGTTTAATTTAGTAATGAATGATTCATGAATCAGGCTGCACCAAGAATCCCAGCAGATTCAGAGACTCTAGCAAAGCCATGTGGTAGAAGACGATATATAGGTTAAAAAAAGGAAAATGATGCACAGAAATGTGAAGTGAGGTACAGAACAGGCAGATTGGTTACAGCTTGGTGTTTGCCTTATTCAAACACTGTTTGAACACTCAGTGTATGAATGGTTGAAGTACATCTGCTGGGATTGGCCAAGACTCGGCTGTTGTTACAGGTTTTCAATCTTGTCTACCTATTAATTTAGGTTGCAGTTTGTCCACAAGGACTCAAATAGAGAAGTACGGAGTCCTTCTCAGGCCATATTTAGTTCGCTTTAACAAAACAAACTACAGTTTATGCTGGTAGCAATCCATCTTTTAAAAAATGTATCTCTGGGAGACACATAAAAAAAATTGCAAACACAGTGAAGACATACTTTTAATAGCCATCGGGTAACTTAATATGAAGAGAGTAACATGGTTTCATGGTCACAGGAAATGAATTTAAATTCCATGTTGAGTGGGAATGCCAAATAGTAGAGCCACTTTAGAAAGAAAGTTTGGGGCCAGATTTGGTGGCTCACACCTGTAATCCCAGCACTTTGGGAGGCTGAGGTGAGCCGATCACTTGAGGTCAGGAGTTTAAGACCAGCCTGGTCAACATGGTGAAACCCCATCTCTACTAAAAATACAAAAAATTAGCCAAGTGTGGTGGCACACACTTGTAATCCCAGCTACATGGGAGGCTGAGGCATGAGAGTCACTTGAACCTGGAAGGCAGAGGTTGCAATGAGCTGAGATTGTGCCACTGCACTCTGAGTGACAGAATGAGACTCTGTCTCAAAAAAAAAGTGTGGCAGTTTTTAAAAAATGTTTGACACACACTTACCATACAACATGGCAATACCACTCTGTTTTAGCCTTCTTGTCATGCCACAACAAAATATCATAGACTGGCTGGCTTAAAAAAAAGAAATTATTATTATTTTCTTTTTTTTTAAATTCACCTTCCTCCCTCTCTCCCTCCCACAAAAAGAAATTATTTTTTCACAGATCTGGAGGCTGGAAAATCCAAGATGAAGGTGCCAGCCTGGTTTGGTTTCTGGGGAGGCCTCTCTTCTTGCCTTCTTGCTGTGTCCTCACACGGCCCTTCCTCTGTACATGTGTGGAGAGAAAGCAAGCTATCCTTCTGTTCTTCTTTTTTTTTTTTTTTTTGAGACGGAGTTTCGCTCTTGTTACCCAGGCTGGAGTGCAATGGCGCGATCTCGGCTCACCGCAACCTCTGCCTCCTGGATTCAAGCAATTCTCCTGCCTCAGCCTCCTGAGTAGCTGGGATTACAGGCACACGCCACCATGCCCAGCTAATTTTTGTATTTTTAGTAGAGATGGGGCTTCACCATGTTGACCAGGATGATCTCGATCTCTTTACCTCGTGATCCACCCGCCTTGGCCTCCCAAGGTGCTGGGATTATTGGAATGAGTCACAGCGCCCAACCTCTTCTTCTTAAAAAGCCACCAATCATACTGGATTAGGACCACACCCTTATGATCTCATTCAACCTTAATTACCTCCAGACAGTTCTATCTCAAAATACAATCATACTGTATTTAGGGATTAGGCCTTCAACATATAAATTTTGGAAAGACACATTCAGTCCATGGCACACTCCTAGCTATTTACCCAAGAGTATTGAGAAATATATATGTAATGTGATAGCAGCTTTTCTCATAATTATCCACAACTGGAAACAACCAAGATGTCTTCAAGAGCTGAATGCATAAATAAATGATGTGCATTCATGCGATGAAGTACTAATTATCAATAAAAAGGAACAGACCCACTGAGACATAAAATAACTTGGATGACTCTCAAAGGTATTATGCTAAATTGAAAGAAACTTGGCCAGGTGTGGTGGCTCACACCTGTAATCCTAGTACTTTGGGAGGCTGAGGTGGGTGGGTCACTTGAGATCAGGAGTGAGACCAGCCTGGCCAACATGGTGAAACCTTGTCTGTGCTAAAAATATAAAAAAATTTTATAATTTTTTTCCAAAGATATTGAACCCACAGATATGGAGGGCTGACTATATATATATCATCTTAAAAAATATGGCAATCAGATTTGTGTATCAAGATAGCCATTCTTGCTTCTGGGAGGACAAGGAGGTAAGATAAGGAAAAGAAGTGTTGGGTAAGTGTATTCTAGAACTCTCATTTTGAAACTATCTTGCAAAAAGTATGATAGAAAATGATGGTGAAAGAGATCTGACTAAACCATGTCATCTTGTCTTTAACCTCCAAACTGTCCTTGTACCTTCCCGGGCACAGGCTGAACTAACTATAGGAGGAATTTAGTTTATAGTTTAATTTTGAAACAAAAATAATAATAGTGCTTTCCTGAAACAAACTCCTCCCTTGCCTGGAAACCAGACTGCCTTTGTAGAACTAACAAATTAGCAACATGATTAGGAAATTTTGATTTAGGGGCCTTGCAGCCAGAGGCAACAAGATTCCTAACCTCCCCAGTTGCTCCAAGGGATATCACTATTGCAAAACCTAAGATTGGTGTTCGAGATATTTTTAGACCCTGCATTCTGATGGAGCAGCTGTCACCACCCAGATTATCCGGCTCAACCAGTTCTGCAATCCCACCAAGGAACAGAAGACACCAGGAAGAACCTGCTTAGACTCCCTGTGATTTCATGCCCAATTCCACCAATCGGCGTTCTCCCCTCCCTAGACCCCTGCCCAGCAAATTATCCTAAAAAAATTCTAGTCTCCAAATTTTCAAGGAGACTGATTTGAATCATACAACTCTGGTCTCCCATTATCTGGCTGTGCATATATTAAACTCTTTCTCTACTGCAATTCCCTTGTCTTGATAAATTGGCTCTACCTGGGCAGCAGGCCAGAAGAACTCACTGGGCAGTTGCAATTTCAACTCCAAGCATCTTGCTCAACAACTAAGACTCAATCAGTTAAACCTCCATGATCAAAAATGGCTGTGACTTAAAATCTCCTTCTTTGAAGGAATGTTAATGTCAAAGATAATTTTTTTGTCCTACAGATTTCAACTGGGCAAAGCTCAGTGAGAAGATTCATCCCTGTTATATACAACATCAGCTGGAACAGCCTGACTGAAGGCTGAAGGATCTGCTTCTGCTTCTAAACTGGCTCATTCAACCCAGCCGAGGGTCAGGGGCCTTGGGTCACCATGTGG